CCTTTTTTTTTGTGTGTAGCCCAGGCTGACCTCGAACTCGTGATCCTCCTGCCTCTGCCTCCTTCAGCAAATCCTACCGGCGTGCGCCACCACTACCGGCTGAAATATTTTTAATTACTAGTTTTCATTCAGTTTTTAAATTTTAAAATTTGTTCTTTTACGTTTATTATTTAATTCTATATTTATGAGTATCTTGCCTGTTTCCATGCATGTGCACCACATGAAAGCCTGGGGCCCCTGGCATTAAGAAGAGGGTGTTGGGTCCCCTGGAACTGAAGTTATAGATGATGTGAGCTACTATATGGGTGCTGGGAACCAAACTTGGCCCTCAGCAGGAGTAAGTGCTCTCAACTGCTGAGCCATCTCTTCAGACCTTCATTTTTATTTATTTTCACTTATTTCTTTTTTATTTTGTGAGTATATGGGTATATGTGAGTGGGTGCCCACATGGCAGCTCATAACCATCTGTAACTCTAGTCCCAAGATATCTGACTTACATGTAGGCAACTCACACATGAACATCAAAATAAAAATAAGCTATTTGATTACCACAACAACTTTAAAGCATATACTCTGTTTCTATTTTATCAATAAATTTAACCAACTTGACCAAGGGATTGGAGAGATGGCTCAGTGGTTTAGAGCACTCGCTGCTCTTATAGAGTTCCTAGCTCCTATAACACAGGACTCACCATACCCTGTAGCTTGAATTCCAGGAAAATCCAAAATCGCTTTCTGATCTACACAGGTGCCCAAATACACAGTCACATACACATATATAAAAATAAAATCTTCAACTTTTTTTATAGGCATGGTGGCGTACACCTCTAATCTCAGCACTTGGGAGGCAGAGGCAGGGAGATCTCTATGAGTTCAAGTCCAGCCTGGTCTACAGAGTAAGTTCTAGGATAGCCAGGGATACATAGTGAGAACTTGTCTCAAACAAACAGTAAAATGAATTAAACAAAATTTGTTTTAATTGTCCAAAGGCATGCAGTGGTATAACAATATTTGAACCAAAACATTCTAACTCTAGCTTCTAGTTTTTTTTCTGTTTTTGTCAAGACGGAGTTCTTTGTGTAGTCCTGGCTGTCCTGGAAATTGATCTGTAGCCCAGGCTGGCCTTCAACTCACGGAGATCGACCTGCCTCTGCCTCCAGGGTGCTGTAATTAAAGGCATATGCCACCATTGCTGGCTCTGCCTTCTACTTTTAATAGTCTCCTTGCCTTTCTTTCTGAAGATAACGGGCATCAGCTGAAGAACTTTAAGCAAGAAGCTAATATAATTCGACTTGTGGGAGGATGCCTCTAAGTGATAGAAGATGAGGCAAAAAAAAAGTCAAATGTTCATTCACTTAAGGGCTATTGAGCTTCTTCCATGTGCTCATCCTAGGCAAGGATATAGTAATACAGAGATAACAGGACTGATGGGGAGTCCACGCTTGGATATGGGAAGATTGTCAATAAACATATTAACAAGAAATACCTGGACTGAAGCGATGTCTCAGTGGTTAAGGGCATATACTGCTGTTCCTGACGACCAGAGTTCAAATTCTAACACCTACTTCAGGCAGCTCATGACTGTCTATAACTCCATCTCTAGCAGATCCAATGCCTGAGGTCTCTGCAGGCATCTGCACTCATGTGCACATAACCACACAGAGACACACATACAAATAACTGAAAATCTTGCAAAGTAGTGGTGGTGCACACCTTTAATCCCAGCACTCAGGAGGCAGAGTCAGGCAGATCTCTAAATTTGAGCCCAGTCTACAGAGCAAGTTCCAGGACAGCCGGAGCTACAAAGAGATTAAAGATTAAATCTTTTTAAAAAACTAGTATATGAAATGACAATAAGTGTACTAGCTATGTCAACTTGACATAAGCTAGAGTCATCAGAGAGAAGGGGGCCTCAACTGAAGAAATGTCTCTATGAGACGGGCTGTGGACAAACCTGTAGGGCATTCTCTTATTTAGTGATTCATGGGAGAGAGCCCAGTCCACTGTGGGTGAAGAAACCCTCGGCTGGTAGTCCTGGGTTCTATAAAAACCCAGGCTGAGCAGGCTGATTAGGTTGAGCAAGCCATGGGGAGCAAGTAAATAGAAAATAGAACTCCTCCATGGCCTCTGCATCAGTTCCTGCCTCCAGGTTCTCGCCCCGCATGAGTTCCTGCCCTCACTGACTTTGGTGAGCTGTTATATGGAACTGTGAGTGAAATAAATCCTTTCCTTCCCATGGTGTTTCATTGCATCAAAAGTTACCCTAAGACAATACGTTTATGAAGACAAATATAGATGAGAATATGAGAGAGACTCTTTACATTGGGAGAAATTGACTTTGGCTCTAGAAGAAATGGAAAGTCACTGGCGATCCCTGAGCACAGAAATAATGCAGTCTACCATTGAACAGACACAGCAGCTTTTATTGAGCTATAACTCACATGCCATGACATTTACTCTCTTATGGCATATGGGCCAATGATTTCTTTTAGTCTGTTTCCACGGTCGTGCAAATGTCAACACTACCTAACTCCAAGATATTTTCATTGTACCAAAAGAAATGCCGTACTCTTTGCCAGTCGCTTCTTCCCTCAGTCCCTTGTAACTGCTGATTTAGTATGTTTCTGTCTATTTGCCTATTCTAAATATTTCATATTAATGTAATTATACAATGTATTTTTTATGATGAGCTTATCATGTAGTGTACAATCTTCATGCCTATTATAGCATATACCAGTCCTTCATTTTTTTTCCTTTTTTAAATTGATTTTTATTGAGCTCTACTTTTTTTATTTTTTTATTTTATTTATTTATTTTTATTGAGAAAAGGAAAAGAAAAAAAAAGTTTCCGCCTCCTCCCAGCCTCCCATTTCCCTCCCCCTCCTCCCACCCTTCTCCCTC